TATGTGTTCACAGCAGCCAGTGGATTTCAGCTGCAAGCAGAGGATTCAAGGTTGTTACTACTTGTACTACTCTGGTCTTATTCTGACAGTAGGTTCCATTCTGACTGTGGTCATGTTATGTTTGTACTCACTGACTTGTTTTATGGAGATTCAGAAAACAACTCTGGAACACAATACCGGGTGAAACCCGACTCGATGATTTGATAATGGTCGACTTATTTAGTGTTTAGAGCTGACATGGTTATTTGATTCATTGTTTAGAGGGTCAAAACACTCTCTGAAAAATTACACGTGATGCAAAGTGCCAGAATGCCCCAGTTCGGCAGAGTGTATTTTGAATGTTTGATATCTGAGGACGTCTCCTTGTCCTTTAGGTGACTGCGTGTTTTATACATCCAGACAACTGACTGGAATGAATATTAATAGTCACAGTCAAGCTTGTGTGAAGCCTGGAATTTCCAGACCGAGATCCTGTTGTCTGTCTGGTGTAGGTGGAGGGAGTTTTAAAGTTTTTGTCTTGTTTGATGACCAAACCTTTCCCCTAGTGTCGGCTAGGGACGCTGTGTTACACATCCTGTTAACACAGTGCAACATAAGAAGCGTTTTGACGGTCAGATGTTTCCTGAATCTTCCCTCAGCTGCCTCTGTCGTCCATTTGTCCTTTCCATTCTGACTTTACTCTCCTACATCTTGAACGCATGCTCAGTGGAGCGTAAATGCACCAGATAGGAGGCTTCAGAAAGTGTGTGTGTGTGTTGTCATGGTTTCTATTTTGGAGAGGCTGGACTCTGGGCGCCCTTGCCTTTCTTCTCCTCCAGCAGCTGCTCTGGCAGGTGACCAGCTGCTGTTGACTGGAGAATGATTTTCTCCAAAAGACCCAGGTGGCTGCTGACACAAGTAGGATGAGAAATCAGAGTCTCTGGCCCAGAAAGTCTCTCTCCAGACTCATCACGTGTTGGAGCTGTGGCTGGTGGAGGTGCTGTTTCAAGGACTTGGGCGTCCCTGCAGGCCTCGTGTCTGCTCTGTAATTACTCCCAGTGGTAAACTGCTGATTACATTAGCAGTAATGTGACGCCTTAAACATTGATCCCTGATGGACGATGCAGCGGAATGGGGCAGTGTGTGCTCGAATGTGCTGTTCCTATGTTATGTTGGTGACACACTGCAGACTGTGAACTCGCCCTGTGCTGTTGCTCGTTCACGTCCAGAGTTTCCTATCAGATTGGAAAAGCATAAACTTCACTTTCATCTGCCCTTGTCGTTTCCAGCTCAGGATCGTTACTACATTTAAACCTGTTGTGTCGGAGAGGATTACTCAGTTACCCCTGAAACACCATTACTAACCTGCCTTAGCTGGATGTTCCTGAACTGCTTACAAGTTGGAGGCGGAGACTTATTGGTATAATTAGAATTTCGGTTATTGCACAAAAGTCTACCTTGTAAAAATCAAGTTCTTTAAACATGCAGAAGAATTTTACTTTGTCTAAAAGTCTAATTAACCACTGGCTGCACTTTGCAAGACTGTCTCAGACTTTAACATTCACAGCTGAGAGGTAAAGACTCAACTAAGACTGCACCCTGATCTGCATGAGAGGTGAAGTCGCAGGACTCGGCTGAACA